GATTTGAGAATGAGGATGGGTCTGAATTCTCGGTCTAAGAGGATGAGTAACTGCCATCTTCGAAGGACGGTTACTGTTCGGAATGATTTGTAACTGCAAGGCAACTGACTGAGTACTGAGTAAAATCTGTAATGCAGGAAATATAGAATGTTTTCAGTTGGCAATTGCCAATGAGGATGGAAGTTATATAGAAACAGGGTTTTGGAGTGGCACTTGTGGCTCACAAAATCTGCTTAGAAGCTTTAAAAAAAGTACTAGTCTAAAGGTAACTTATTTCTTTCAATTTCAGTGCTATTTTAAGAATATGGGTAAAATAGGAAATAAGAAATTTCTTGTGACTGGTAAAGGGTTAAAATAAAGTGTCTTTACTTTAATTCTGTCTTCACTTTTATGTGGATCACCCCTAATGAACTTCTATTAATTCTCCTGGTATTCCTTTGAAACACGTTTTATTGCTAGATGACAATTATATGGCGTGGCTAGTAGTTAGTTTTAGGGTTCCCTATGTTTGCCCTTGGAATGGCGGTTACGTGTTCTGAGTGTTCCTACACTGGTGCAGAGAATATGTGAGACATGCACTACAAACACAGCCGCAGCAGCTATTGATGGTACATTTACTGCAACAAGTGACAGTGCTGGAGACAAATTCACTTTTTCACATTCTGGGTGAGAGGGGAAATTATATTCTTTTTGTTTGTGAATTTTCCTCAACAGTATCTCTACGTTAATTTTTTTGTTTCATACGGTATTAATTGCTATTTGTGTTCATTCATGGTAACTGTTGTCATTGAGAATTTTTTTAGGAGTGGAGCTCTGTTGCTTTATCGGCTTGATGTTCTCAATAACATTACTCTCTCGTCACGGGCTCAGCCTAATTTTGCCGGTAATATGCAATTGTTTGTTCCATCCGTTAGGATGAAAAGCGTTCAAACCAGTTCCTTGTCTAAACCATTCTTCAGCAAACGAGAGGAACTGAATGGTTACTTTTAAAATTAAAAAAAGACATCTTTAATTAAGTAACTTTGTTTTATTGCACCAAAAAAGTTTTTTCTTGTACAGATTTCGCTTCTAGTTTAGCTCTTACTCTCTTTTTATAGATCTCGATGCTCTAATGCATGTGCAGATAGCTAGTGCTTTTGAAATGGACGGAAAACCTTGTTGGTCTGTAATAGATGGTATTTTGCAACTTTTAGAGTCTGAAGAGCGTGCGAAACTGGCACGTTTGAAACATTACGAACGTATTTATACGTTTTTTGTACAGGTTAAAAAATTTATTTATAGTAAGTTTGCGTGAAACTTCTCACCTTGTTAACCATTTAAGTTTTCTAAAAAAAATACTTTTTGAACGCCTGCGGTACACTGGTTGCGAAAGTTAGTAATGTGAGATGTACAGCACTTTTCAGATCTTTGCGTATTTTTCTCCTTCATCAGGAGAATTTATCATTTCACCTCAGAGTGATCGTTTTCCAGTAATAATATTTTCCCGTTGCCTTACTGTTATCATTCCGTACTGTTCTACCGATCCTCATTTCGAAGAACTTGTTACTGGATTTTTGGCAGACTTCGTTGATCTCATTTCTACTGTTAGTGTGTTTTTTTCGTTTCGCATTTGAATAACCAGATTGATTCGTTCTTCAAAACCTATCGTTCTCTTTGCGGCTAATTCAATTAGACATTTTAAAAATGCTCAAGAACTTGTTAGAGAGTTTTGTGCTTTTGGAAATGGACAAACTCCTAATTTTATAAATTTCTAATGAGACCGGCTATTAGTTATAAAGACGGTTTTGTTCAACATAGTAGTGAAGGGATGCAAATTACTCTTTGTGAAAATACATAGATTTGTAAAGTGTAATGGATGCTGATAGTTACTTATTTTTTTCGCTCTTGGCAAAAAAGTAATTTTATCTGATGTTAGAAACAATTTTTCCAACTTAATATTGCAAGTATATGGTTAGTGCATATGTATTTTGCTAACATATTTTTGTGGAATGCATAGTCATGGTTTCAACTGTTTACTTTTTATGCGTACTTCAAATCATATTTTGACAAAAAAACAGGAAGGAATGGAGAAAGTCGTGAATCTTACATTATTTTTAATTAGTTGTAGGAGGGTTCTAGTGATTTTAAGAAGATAGAGCTCTGTTTTGCCGTGTGTCAGAGGAAATAGAATTATTCCAGAACATTTTATTTTTACTTCATGCAGTGGTTTCATTAGTGCTGCTGTCAAGCGAATAAAAAATTTTTGAGAGTACAAGTCGAGGCGTCAATTAAGAGGTGTTAAAAAGATTATATCTTTTAGTTTGGGAGACCGATTTTTGTTACAGAAAACTTTTTGACGCTGAGTGCGTCTCTCCATCTTCGTTTTCTTTTGAAGCTTAGACATTAAAAGCAGCTTTGAAGATAGCGACATGGTTTTGTAGTTCCACGAGTGAAGTTCGCATTTTGCTGGTTTAAACTTACTCTATAATTTTTTAAGGAGAAGTCGCCGGCTGGTCTGTTTTCTCTGTCAAGCTTGTCCAACAACAATGCAATGTATTATTTTGCTTTTATTGGTACGATATCATCAAAAAAATACGGTTGTGAACTCTTAGAAAGGATGAATGTTCTTCAAACGTACGTTTTTTCTCTTGTTCACTTTTACTTGTGTTACAAGTAGTTTTCTAAAATTAATATCAGTTCACTATTGTTCCTCAAACTTGGCTGTAAATTGGCAAAAATGGGTGAATTTTACAAAACTGACCAAATTAGTATTTAAGGCCAATATCTTTTTCCTTTTGCTTGTTTACTTACTTCTACGACGGTTTACAAATCTTTTAACCAACGGAGCATTTGAAAGTTAATGAACTTTTTGATGGTGTTTGTGGCACAGTTTATTCAAATGTTAAATTTGCACTTCCAAAGAAGGTGTTCAAATGTTTTATTCCTATGCATTAGATAGTATTCACGATAGCTCTTGCACAGTGCCAACAGATAACCTATTTAAGTTAAAACAGATGCAGTCGGATCCTTCACTTGTTTATGATTACCACTTTTTTACTATTAGGGCGATTTCCTACTGTAGAAAAATGGGAGAAAGATGGGTCTCTGAAGTTACAGAATGCTTCTGATAAGTTATTAATTTATGGTTTTTGCGTTATGTAGAAACAGTGTTGAATTTGCGTGAGTTTACCCAGGCACTTATATTTTTCTGTTAACATACCACCTTGAGGCAGACCGGCTGAAGGATTGCAGTAAGGTTTGCAATGTTCAAATCCTGGCTCGAAAACATTATGCGCTTGGCAACAAGGTGTAGCATCTTCATTGCCACTGGCACAAACCATCATGTCTCCAACTTTACTTATGGGGCATCGGCCGGTAAGAACGCTGAGTTGAATCTAAAAATCAATCGCTGTTTTACATCTCTGTTTCGCTAGTTTAATTAAAAATTACATCATTTTATTAGGAAAAAGGATAAAGGTTAAAAATTATTCCTCTGTTGCTAAAAAAAACTTTTGCTGATTCGGAAATTACTACCGTTGCAAGTGTTGCATCGTAACTGCAAAGCGAGCTGCAGCCTTCACCTAAACGAGCACAGCAGTTGCGGAATCTTTCGTTGGCTAGTTCTTTAGAGATACAAGGTTGCCAGTTGGGTTGACGAGGACACTAAAGTTTACTCAGTTACCTTTGAATTTGCTGTAATGATGGTTAGTTTTATCGAAACGCTTGTGGATCCTGTATAGTATTTCGAATATTTTTTGAAA